TCTCTACCAGATCCTTGTGTCATGAATGTTGCTCAACACAAGGTGGCATTCACTGGCTGCTTACCCATTACTGCAGTAGTCATTATTCCAGTCCACAGTCTGTGCTGGAGGATTTCTGCACCCTGAACGAACATACTCCATTGCTTGGGTAACAACTTGTGCAGCTGTTGATGTTGGATTGATGATATTCTGATAATCAGGCTGAAGAGTAAATCCCTAGAGGAGAAAGCAAGTACATTACTATGTACAGAAACCAAGCAACAGGTTGGCTGCATTAAAAAAAAAACCACAACAAACGGTGTGTACTGTGAAATGGTAGGATACTTATTTTCCAGCTCTACTTTAGGTTATCAAACTTAAAATAGGAAAAAAATTTGTAGGTGCTTCCTAAGTTTTTAAATCTTTCTTTGGTTTGAGAAAAGAAACACTGCCAAAACATTGTTAGCTATTACACAGTCACAGGATGGAACTAAAAGGAACAGAGCAGAAACAATTCAAAACCAAGAGAACAACTCAATCAACACTGGGGCAAAAAGGTCTGTTTGCTCCTTAAAGCTTCCATTTAGATTAAACGTTAAGGACACACACAAGTCATTAATTCCCAGAATATGCAACAGAATCTTTTTGAAGGATGTAGGCAGCAGGTGGCTGACTGTTTTATTAGACTACACCTATTCACATATTGTTCTCAAAACCCTTTTTCTTCATTCAGTCACAAAGGGACCATCTGCTGCTTCTTTTATTTGTACTTCTCTCTCAACTAAACAGAAATTCAACCACAGCTTTTTAACAGTTGTCAGACTAATGTAGTGAAAGTAGCACAGAATAACTCGCTTTTTGAAACCAAGAAGACAAGGAAAAAAAGTGGATGTTACAAAGAGACATCTAACCGACTCCCTGAAATATCTGTCATATGAAAAGTCATAATAATTTTTAGCTCTTTTGATATAAGAGGATGTTTAAATGCTGTGTTTCAAAACCAGGAGAACAATTGAAATTTCAAGGCTAGTGTATCTGGTTCACCCTGTATAAATGTACATCATGTTCCTGTAAAGTTAGAAGAACTACATTAGGTAAAAGTATGTGAATGCTGTCCAAAAGCAATCGAAGTCTGCTGAAAAAAACAGACCAAACTCCTTCCTGGGGCAAGGGCACTCAATTTCCACTCAAGTTAACTGGATGTGTTGCTGGTAAATCAGAAACTGAACTCGAACCAAGATACCTAGTTTGAAAATCCACTCCTTCTGGCCAAAGTCCACATACAGAACAGAAAGGATTAAAGCTCTTATCTTTTAGTTTTAAATTCTAGTGGATTATGTGTGATTGCTTCATATACATAGCCTTCATTAAGACAGGAATTTTGAGGAGAGCCGTGTTTTTTTTCTACAGATTTAACAACTCAGCCACAATACCTTTAATCAAGATAAATGAGTATTCTCAGTTTTAAATCTGGCCTCAGTTTCTGCCTGGCCCCCTCCAACCCCAGAAATGAGCTTCCTCCAAATATAACATGCCACTTCCTTCTTCACATCCCTCTTTCTTGGAGTCTTATAATCCGGCTCTTCCCCGGTTGTTCTGCCCTGCTGTGCCTCTCGTGCACCATCACCTCACTGCACTCATCCTGACTGTGGACTTTCATCTAGGTCATAAATCAGTGCAACTTTCTTCCATAATCTCTTCCATATGGAGAATATCCCAAGTCACACCTCACTACCTTACATGCTCTCTGAAGCGTCACTTTGCCCCTGATAACTCCAAGAAACAGACCATTAGCAGCAGGCAAGTTCACGAGCTGAATTCAGCATCTAGTTGTCATGTAACATATACTGCCCTGCTAGTAAGATAAAACACCACCCATGGTGACTGTAACCCCTGTGCTCTGTACACAGCCTTTTCACCAGGCTCTGAACCTGCACATCAGGCTACATAAGCAACCCCCATGCCTGCAACGAATCCAAAAGAAACTGTAATTGAGCAGACTTCCCAATGACTTTAATTGGAGTGTCGTGTAATTGGCAGAAAAATCAGATTTATATATCACCATCATCATTTTTACACAAAACATCACCCATAAGGCCTTTCTAATTTAGCTGTAAGAGGAAACTAACCACAGAAACACATCCTACCCTGAGGCACTCAGGTTTACTTTTGGTAGCAAAGCCCCTGAGCGATCTCTTATCAGTCTTCACGAAACAATCGTACATACAAGAAAACCACTATACGGGGCCAGTAACTCCAGCAGTGCTGTAGCGAGGCACGCAAGAGTGCAGTGCAAGCAGGCACAGAGACTCAAGTACTTGTGCAGCAAGAAGAAACAGTTTCCCCAAGTCAGAGAAAGAGACCATCAGTGCAATATATGTTCAATTTCTTCTGAACTTAGGACAAATAAATAGCTTAAATGTGGGAGGGTGGTCCCATGGTTAACATGTCAGCTTGGTACTGGGTGGGGACTTAGAGTCCTGGTTTCACCTGGGAAAG